TGGAATGGTAAGAATTGAGTGATGTGGGCAACCTATTGAGAGTCTTGGGTACTTCTTACAGCTCAAGAATTGGTTTCCCAGCTTTCAAAGCCTGTCCACTGTGTGATTCTTGAATTACACAGGGCAGAAACTGTGCGATTCACCTTCACATCTTCTGGGTACAACACAATATAATAATATATGCCAGAAAGAAATGAGCTTTATGCCTGAAGGATGATGACATGCACAGAACCAGGGAGCTTTCCAGGGTACACTCCTCAAATCAATGTTTTCTTCCATCTGGTGGGATCCCTTCATCCTTTATTGTCCACAGTCAGCCACTTTGAACCTTGAGAATGTTTTAATGCTCTCTTCTCTTTAATACTCTCACTTTCTTCCTTGAGAAAAAAGTGCTAATTCATAGAGTATTGCTTTTAGTCTATAGTTATGTTTCATCTAAGCACTCTGGGAAATTTGACTTCCTCTAAAGGAAGAAAAATAAAGGAAACTGAGGCATTGCTGAAGTTTGTTTCGCTGCCAAACTTTCTGCTTTCTCAAAAAGTATGGCCAGGTAGAGGTAGGTACCTTGGTCCGGACGATGTTTTTATCACTCTCAATGTCTGGCATGGTGTCGAAGTCACTCTCCTCCACGGAGCTGTCTGTGTCTGACTGGCATGGCAGCCCACCATCAGAGGAGGACATCTGCCTTCCAGGACTGGAGCTTGACTCATCTGAAACAGAGAAAACTCATCTGCCTTCAAAAGCCAAGAAGAGTCCATGAAGCCCATTCCTGTCTACAAAAAGCACAGTGCAGACTAAATCCAGAAAATATTGTGTTGGTCCAAACTAACTCCTTACCCATGAGACATGTTCCTTCTCTCCACTCCTTCTTAATGGTTTCATTTTTCCTCTTCTCCTATTTTTATAATTAACTTGTCTATCTCCAGGGCCGAATACATATTAGAATATAAGGGCATCTGCTCTGTTAACTATTTGGATGCAAAAATAACATTGTGCTTATATTTAATGTTTCATATTTTAAAATATGGACATACATATATAAGCATACACGTGCACATAGCTATGTATAGCATCTATGACATATATGTGTAAGCACACACATATCCAGCAGCTATACATTTCTCACGGATAAAGTATTTGTACACAAAAATCCCCCACATGCCATATCTACGATTATATAATGAAAACAACATTCTCAGGAAGAAGAATCCTTCTGTTCCTGTGAATGTTTCCCAGAGCAGATGGGAATTTGTGCAGCTTGATGAGCACATGAGCTGAGCTTACCTTCCGCTTTATTTCTTCTGTTCAGATGGTTTAAAAAAAATTCTGTTCTTGTGGAACTAAAAATAAGTAGCCTGGACTGAGCCCACATGCTTCTCAAAGTTACAGAGTAACAGGGCAGAAATACAAGATTCCCAGTCCCTCTACACTGACATTTTAAGGAGGACCATTCATAGGTCGGCAAGTGACATGGAAGGGGCTTGCAGCTCACTGCGCTCCTACCCTAGCAAGAGAATCCTGAAAGGATTCTCTTCCTTTCAGGTCACTTAAGGAACACTGGGGTTTGCCATGTGACTGGGTGGCAGAGAGCAGGTTCAATTATGAAGTTAGCCAAAATGAAGGGTTGTTAGCCTACAGCCATGTTCACCTGCAGCACTGCCTCAGTCTTCTGATCGCCCTTACTCCACTGAAACCTGAGAATGAAACAACTGGTCAATTGATGTCAGGCTCCCTGGGACACATCTTTCACTCCCTAAAATGGCTGGGTATGGAAAAAGTCCCCAAGGGGCCCCTGTATTAGATGAAAGTCATTGTAGGTAATTCTACTCAAGTGTGGCTAGCAGATGCAAGAAACAGAACAACAGAACTGGAGAAAGTTGGAGCTGGAAGGAAGCTTCCAGATCCTCCAACTAATTCAT